GAAAAGCTAAAGGAGTTCATTACTGCCAAACCAGTATTATATAAATTGCTGAAGGGTATTCTTTAAGAAGAGGAAGAAGAAGAAAAGGGTAAAGATAAAAATTCTGAACAAAGTGACAACAAATACATATCTAACAATATGTGAATCTAAACATCAAGTGAATAAAAAAATCTGATGAACAAAATAATCTGGTGAATAGAATAGAATCAGGGACATAGAAAGGGAATGGACTGACTATTCTGGGGGGGGAAAGGGGTGTGGGGGATGCGAGAAGAGACTGGACAAAAATCGTGCACCTATGGATGAGGACAGTGGGTGGGGAGTGAGGGCAGAGGGTGGGGTGGGAACTGGGAGGAGGGGAGTTATGGGGGGGAAAGAGGAACAAATGTAATAATCTGAACAATAATGATTTAATTTTTTAAAAAAATTAATGACAGAACAAGTATTCTCAAAGTAATCTGGGAATAGAAGACAGTAACATATTAAAAATATCCCATTAGATCATCATCAAATTTTTCAGCAGAAACTCTACAAGCTAGGAGATAGTGGAATCAAATATTCAAACTATTGAAAGAGAGAAATTACAAGCCAAGAATAATATATCATTTAGATATGAAGGATAAATAAAGACTTTTCCAGCCATACAGAAGCTGAAGGAATTTACCACCACAAGACCTCCATTACAGAAAATACTCATAAATACTTATGCCTTAAACAAAAAGACAAAAGGATACAAAACTATGAGTAAGATGATGAACAGACAGACAGAAACAGACTGTTGTAACCCTCTTTCAGAACAGGGTATTATACACTTAAATATAACATAAAGGTGCAAGGAAGTAAAAAAAAAAAAACATCAAAAAGAAAAGGCAATATCTGCTACAATTCGGAAATGAACTCACAGCATAAATAGGAATAATTTGTGACAACAAAAATATAAAAGGAGGGGGATGTCTAAATTTTCAAAGGGGAATGGAGATAAGATGTATTCACAAGAAAATGTACTACTGTATATATAAAATTTATTTTGCATAAACCTAATAGTAACCACACGCAAACAAACCAAAAATGAACTAAATTATAC